TCTCATGCCTATGGCAGGCATCCTCTGAGGTTGTGAGATCTTCATGCCTATGGCAAGCATCCTCAGAAGTTGGGAGATCCTCACATTTATGGCAGGCAATCCTCAGAGGCTGAGAGATCCTCATACCTACGGCAGGCATCCTCAGAGGTTGTGAGATCCTCACATTTATGGCAGGCACCATCAGAGGTTGTGAGATCCTCATACATATGGCAGGCATCCTCAGAAGTTGCAAGATCCTCACATCCATTGCAGGCATCCTCAGAGGTTGTGAGATCCTCATACCCATGGCAGGCATCCTCAGAGGTTGTGAGATCCTCACATTTATGGTAGACATTCCTCAGAGGTTGTGAGATCCTCACATTTATGGCAGGCACCATCAGAGGTTGTGAGATCCTCATACCTATGGCAGGCATCCTCAGAAGTTGCAAGATCCTCACATCCATTGCAGGCATCCTCAGAGGTTGTGAGATCCTCATACCCATGGCAGGCATCCTCAGAGGTTGTGAGATCCTCACATTTATGGCAGGCAACCTCAGAGATTGTGAGATCCTCATGCCTATGGCAGGCATTCTCAGAAGTTGCGAGATCCTCACAACCTCTGAGGATGCCTGCCGTGGATGCAGGTGAAAAGTCAGGAGATAATATTTCTGGAACCCAGAAAACTCACAACAACCCAGTGATTCTGGCCATCAAAGCCTTTGACATTATGTGCTAAGAAACCACCTTATTCCCAAATTTGCAATATTTTGTGCAAGATTGTAGCAAAACAGTCTTGTCATGTCTTTTTTTTTAAAAAAAAAAACCTAGTTTGCTACCTTTTCCTCTCCTTGTCGTTCTTTTTTGTGTTTGTTTGTCTTCAGCAACATTTACCGAAGTTCCAAAAGATGTGACTGTTAGGGAGGGAGATGATATTGAGATGCCTTGTGCTTTCCGGGCCAGCGGATCCACCTCTTACTCCTTGGAAATCCAGTGGTGGTACCTTAAAGAACCGGCACGGGAGCTGGCCCACGAATTAGCCAACAGTGGCCCTGGCAGCAGGAGCAAGGTAATCAATGCAGCCCGTGCATGCAAACGCCGTGAATCAGTGTGATTTGTTGCAGACCACAAGGTTGATCGCAATGGGGAAACAAGCATGATTTCTTATTCAATGCGGTCTAGGAAGACCAACAGGGAAGCTTGTGTTTCTAGAGTTGTGCCTACACAAAAATCCAGACAAATAAGTGAGGTCCAAAGCCCACTAGGGGGTGCACTATTTTGGCACAATTTGGCTATCTGTTTGCGTAAATTGTCTGGCTATTTCACAAGTGAATGTTGCAAATGGGAGAGTCTCCATATCAAATGCTTGGTGAGCGATGTGTGCGTGGATGAGAAGTCAGTGGTCCTCGGGGTCTCAGAATGCAGTGCCTTTTATCCTCACGTTCAGCAAGGGAGGGCGAATTGAGCAAAGTTGTGCGTTGGGGATGGGCTCCGAAGCCTCACATTTGGACCAAAATGCACCATAGCATCCAAAGCAAAAGTCACAATTCCAGACAGAAATGACCGTATTGTCTGAATCCACCCAGTGGAAAGAAGGAAGGAAGGAAGGAAGGAAGGAAGGAAGGAAGGAAGGAAGGAAGGAAGGAAGGAAGGAAGGAAGGACAAGGCAGCAATAGAAGCTATCTAGAATTCTATTCCCAGCCCTGCCTACGTGATAGTTGCACTTTCCTTGCACTCCTTTAAGGATGTATTGCACTTATAGAGTCTGATTCTCAGCTGTGGTCTTTTTCTCAGCCATATCATTTTGATGTTGTTTATAATTGTGATTGTTTTTATATTTTATCTGATGTTTTTAATTGGTAGTGTTGTATTTGTAATTTTTGGGCTTCTCCCTTGTAAGCCGCCTCAAATCCCCTTGGGGAGATGGTTGGTGGGGTATAAAAATAAAATAATAATTATTATTATTATTTTACTGACACCACAGAATGGCACAGCAAACGAGATCTATATGCTGGATTTCGTATCACAAAATCACAAGTCGAGCATTTCCAAAGCGTCTAGGACTGTGTGATGTATTTTCGAATGATGCACACAGATACAAGTCAGGTGGCCTTTTGCAGTTGACAGATCGTGATTTTGTCCATGTTTATTGTTTTCAAATGCCGGCTGAGATCTTTTGTGTGCCAATGACGACTCCTCCTCCTCCTCCTTCTTCTAAATCATCTTCTTCTCCTTCTTCTACTCCTCCTCCTCCTCCTTCTTCATCATCTTCTCCTTCTTCTCCTCCTTCGTCTCCTTCTTCTTCATCATCATCATCATCTTCTCCTCCTTCTTCTTCAAAACACAACAGGATGAGTCCACAGCAGACAATCTGCTGGCCGTTGTATTGGATCGCACATCAGACACTTCCCAAATGTCTAGGACTGTGTGATGTATCGGCGAATAATGCGTGCAGATCCCAGTAAGGTGGCCTTCTGCAGCTGGCAGATGGTCATTTTGTCAGCACCGATTGTGTTTAAGTGCAGGCCAAGGTCTTTAGGCACTGCACCCAGTGTGCCAATCACCACTGGGAACACCTTGACTGGCTTGTGCCAGAGTCTTTGCAGTTCAATCTTTGCAGTTGTTTATTATTGTTATTGTTATTGTTATTATTATTATTATTATTATTGTTATTATTATTATTATTTCAAACACAGCAGACACTCTGCTGGCTGTTGTATTGGATCACTTGTCTGACACTTCTCAAGTCTTTAGGACTGTGTGATGTAACGGCAAATAATGCAGGCAGATCCCAGTAGAGTGACCTTTTGCAGCTGGCAGATGGTAATCTTGTCAGCACCGATTGTGTTTGAGTACAGGCCGAGGTCTTGAGGCACTGCACCCAGTGTGCCGGTCACCAATGGGACCACACTGACTGGCTTGTGCCAGAGTCTTTGCAGTTCGATTATGCAGATTATTATTATTATTATTATTATTATTATTATTATTATTATTTGAAACACCACAAGATGAGTCCACAGCAGACACTCTGCTGTCTGTTGAATTGGATCACACGTCGGATGCTTCCCAAGTGTCTAGGACTGTGTGATGTATCAGTGAATAATGTGTGCAGATCCCAGTGAAGTGGCCTTCTGCAGCTGAAAGGTGGTGATTTTGTCAGCGCCGATTGTGTTTAAGTGCAGGCCAAGGTCTTGAGGCACTGCACCCAGTGTGCCAGTCACCACTGGGACCCCCTTGACTGGCTTGTGCCAGAGTCTTTGCAGTTCGATCTTTGCAGTTTGTTCATTATTATTATTATTATTATTATTATTATTATTATTATTATTATTATTATTTGAAACACAACAAAATGAGTCCACAGCAGACACTCTCCTGGCTATTGTATTGGATCACACGTCAGACACTTCCAAAGTGTCTAGGACTGTGTGATGTATCGGCAGATAATGCGTGGAGATCCCAGTATGGTGGCCTTCTGCAGCTGGCAGAGGGTAATCTTGTCAGCGTCAATTGTGTTTAAGTGCAGGCCAAGGTCTTGAGGCACTGCACTCAGTGTGCCGGTCACCACTGGGACCACCTTGACTGGCTTGTGCCAGAGTCTTTGCAGTTCGATCCCTAAATCCTCATATCGTGTCAGCTTTTCCAGCTTTTCCAGTTGCAACATTGACAATCCATACTTTCCATACTTTGTTTTTTAACACGATCCTGAGGTCAGGAGTATTGTACTCCAAAACTCTGTCTGAATTTGGAAGCCTCAGAGTAGCTTGACATGTTTATTATTATTATTATTATTATTATTATTATTGAATTAGCAATTTTATGGGCTTCTGAAAGAAAGGAGCAGTAACAACAGGCTTGCAGAATTGCTTACTGCTATCTCGAGATCTTTGTGTGATCCAGTTAACGTTAGATTACAAGCCATGCCCAAAAACAAAACAAACCTTCTTTGGCAAATAGAAGACTCTCAGTCAATATGATTAAGGGTCCAGTCAATGCCCCATACACTGTTGATCCAATCCCTATGGAAAATGGATGAGGATTCAGATCGTGGTAGTAAAGGTTTCCCTAGATCCGTGGTTCTCAACCTTCCTAATGCCGTGACCCCTAAATACAGTTCCTCATGTTGTAGTGACCCCCAACCATAAAATTATTTTCGTTGCTACTTTAGAACTGTAATTATTCTACTGTTATGAGTCGTAATGTAAATGTATTTTCATTGTTACAAATTTAACATAATTAAAGCATAGTGATTAATCAGGGAAACAACGTGTTTTGGGGAGGTTGGACAATGGATGATGGGATCTACAGTACCTCTGACTTCCACAGACCTGGGTTGCCCAGCTCGGTGGGCAGTGCCTGGGCCCTGTGGGGAGCCATTTTGAGGAGGGGGGCAAGGCCAAAGGAGGTGGCCTCGCGACCCCTCCAAAATGGCCAAGCGACCCCCCTGGGGGTCGCGACCCCCAGGTTGAGAACCACTGCCCTAGATGATGCTCATCTCCATTTCTAAGCTGAAGAGCTGGCATTGTCCGTAGACACCTCAAAGGTCATGTGGCCAGCATGATTGCACGGAGCACCATTAGATGTCACCTTTAGTTTAGAGATGGATGCTTGGGACATAAACATGGCATGTTCAAAGGCATTGATGTGCCTCAAACCCTCAGATTGACTTCTCCACTTCACCCATTTCTTCCCACTAGCTTTTACGTTCACGAGAACACTCAATAGTATCCTTACTCAGAAACTGCAGAGTAAGGAGATGAAGCAGGGAACCAGAGTGAGATGAAACTGGGGAGACCCATATAGCTATGGAGCTCACCCAAAAGCCATAATTGTCAGATGGGGCTTTAATGCTGCTATTTAATTGTGTTTTTATCTGGATTGTTGTATTTTACAATGCTCTTATTTTAATGGTGTTGTTGTTTTAATGTCTTGTGGACTTTCTGATCCACATGTAAGCCACCCGAGTCCCTTCAGGAAGATGGTGGCAAGATATATGAATAATTATATTATTATTATTATTATTATTATTATTATTATTATTATCATCATCATCTTGGGCCTACCTTACAAGGGTGTTGATGAACGGTGTGATCCGTGTAAAGTGTAAAGGCCCCAACCACACTGCCATGCAAAATCCAGATTGGCTAATTTGATTTCGATTATATGGCAGTGTGGACTCATATCATCCAGTTCAAAGCAGATAATGTGGATTATCTGATAATCTGGATTACTGTATATACTCGAGTATAAGCCGACCCGAATATAAGCTGAGGCACCTAATTTTACCACAAACAACTGGGAAAATGTATTGACTTGAGTATGTGGACTACCTGTTTTGATAATTCGGATTACCGTATATACTCGAGTATAAGCCGACCCGAATGTAAGCCGAGGCACCTAATTTTACTACAAACAACTGGGAAACATGTATTGACTTGAGTATAAGCCAAGGGTGGGAAATGCAGCAGCTACTCGTCAATTCCAAAATAAATATAAAATACCAATAAAATTAAATTAAATGAGGCATCAGTAGGTTAAATGTATTTTTAAAAAATATTTATATAAAACTGTAATTTAAGACAAGACTGTCCAACTATGATTAAATCATTGTTCTAACCTTCTTCAATGTAAATGTGCTTATGTAGCCTTCCAATAATAATAGAGTAAAATAATAAATGTAATAATAATAATAATAATAATAATAATAATAAAAAGAGTAAAATAATGGAAATGTTAAAAAATGTAATAACAGAGTAAAATAAAAATATAATAAGAAGAAAGTAAAATAATAAAAGTAACAATAACAATAATAAATAGAGAAAATAATAAATGTAATAATAATAGAGTAAATTAATAAATGCAACAATAATAGAGTAAAATATGTAAATGTAATAATAATAATAAATAGAGTAAAATGATAAATAATGATAGAATAAAATAATAAATGCAATAAAATTAAAATTAAAATAGAAAGTAAAATTATAAATGTAATAATAATAAGAAGAAAGTAAAATAATAAATGTAATAATAATAAGAAGAAAGTAAAATAATAAATGTAATAATAACAATAAT